TGGGGGATAGCTAGCAGCCTGTGCCACATCATGACAGCACTTGGTATATATATTTGATATATTTAACTCTCACCCCTGCTAATTTGTTCTGAAAGCTCATAGCTGGAACACAGGTGATGCTGCTTGAGTTCTGTTCTGCCCAGACATTTAATGCTTTTTACATTAATGTGTCTTCTTTCTTCAGTCTTCTTTGCTTTGCTCTTATGGATTTTCATATTGGTCTTTGATACATTTATGTTTCATTAGCATTTCTTTTGGAATTTCTCAGATTTCTTATATGCCAATTGTTACGGTTCTTAAAATTTTGAAGCTTTAAGTAAATTAGTGTCCAAATGCTTAAAATTATTTGATTAAATAATCAGATACATATAACATCAGTTCCAAAATGTGGAGAAATGTCTAACATTAAGCAATATGGAAGCTTTAAGCTACACTTTTCAAAGGAGAAAAAATTCTCAGAAATACACAATTCATCTAAATAGCCACTACCTATCAGTGACAATATTTAAGAAATAACATGATCAGAGGCTACTTGCATGTTCACTGGCTGGAGTGACTTATGAGAGGCTCAACTGTGGGGAAGCACATTTTGTTTTTAAAAACAAAATCTGAACGCACATATAGATGATCTCTTAGATGACCTGCTTGCTTAATTCAACCACCTCAACATCCATCTCATCTAAATATTCATCTTTGGTCCCTGGTCTAAAACACAGTCATGCTTCTTGTTAGCACACTTCTGGACATCATAAACATCTCCATCCAGTGACCATTCAAATCCTGGATGAACACTGGGCTCCCTGAATGTGTACCGATACTACCGTCATCATGCTGAGCAAATCCCATCCACTTGCTCTTTCCCTTTAAGGTCCAAGTTGTCTCCCCGACTGCAGATGGCCCTTTCCTTGCACCTCAGCCAGGGCCCTCACCCAGGGGTTTTCTCCTGCAAAAGGAGACCAGAAACTAGCTTAAACTGCCTGCTAATAGACGTATAGTTGCCTGATGTAACCACCAAAAAGGCTTGAGTTTGGGGATTGAGCTAGAAATCCTACTCAGAGCCCAAATCTAATTTGAACACACATAAATTTTTGCTAGGGTTGGAATCAGAAACCTTGAGCATGTATCTTTAGGAATACCAATATAAGGTACATTTCACATTTAAAAAATTATACGTAGCTCTATCCACACAAAGATTACCAACCTCTCAGTAAAAGAGTCAAGGGGCTGGATCCATAAAATTCTGCAACTTGTTAAGGTCAGATTTTCTTAACCTACTGAAAACAATTGAAATTTGGAGCTAGATAATTCTTTGCTGTAGGAGACTGCCCTGTGCCTTGCAAAATGTTTACCAGTATCCTTGGCCTCTCCCTACCAGTCGCCACTAGCACATTCCCACATCCAGCTGTGACATTTTCAGACATTACTAAATATTCCCTTGAGGGCAAAATTATGACCAAGTGAGGGCCTCTGGGTTAGGAACATGAAGGGGTTGAATGGAAAGCACTTACTCAGGCAGGCATAAACTTTTCAAACACAAGGCAGGTCTTGCTAGTTGGGTCACAAAACCGCAATCTTTTACTCCATTGTTAAGAATCTGAATGATGACGACAACGACAGCTACTATAGATGCGACACCAGGTGTATACTAAGTGTGTAACCTTTGAACTTCACAATGGCTGTCAAGTAAATTCTATTAACTCATTTAACAAGTGAGAAAACTGAGAATCAGAAGACCGCATAACTTATTTAAGGTCAAAGAGGAAGTGATAGAGCTGGAATTAAAATCCAGATCTGCAGGTCAACAAACTCCATCCTCTCCCCACACTCCAAGCACGCTCTCAAGGCAGTGATTTCCTTCTCTCTGTTGCTGTCTATGGATATGACATCTGTATTTTTCCTGCATGCAAACACACCTTCTTAGGGTACATTATATACTCCAAGGGGCTGCAAAAAAGTGCCCATGAGATGTATGAGTACCCTGCTGATAAGTTTACATTATTACTGTTCTTGCAAAACTGGGAAATCTCTTGTGGTTCTGCTAAAGAAAAATGATTGTTCTCAGGGGACCTTGACTCCCCCACTATCTGTCCTCAGTTCCAAGCTACTTTCACATCAGCCTGGCTTGGTTTATCCTGACCACCACATAAAGTCATTGACAAAAAAGGGAGAACCATGCCAAGTTCACTGCCAAAACACTACAAAATTATGATACTAAAGACAGGAAGGTCCTGACCACAGGGTGGCTTTTAAAGAAGTAAGACAGATATCAGAAAGTTTACAGATCATGAACTAGACCATCATTATGGACCATCAAAACCTGACAACTTCCAACCACCAACCCTGTTAAGAGGTTCCCAAGTTCTTGTCCACATGTGTTCCTTACTGGCCATTCTCTGATGTGAAATCCATGGACATAGATTTGGACACATGAAAGCACACATATGACAATGCCCTTCTTAAGCATTTCCTTTCATTCTAGAATATCACACTTTAATAAAAACATATTCAAAATAGTTGTTAGTCAAATTTCTCTCATTTGAAACATTGTTTTCCATTAGTCAGTTGTCACCCTAGGCTGAAATGACCTGGAAACTTTAAAAATGTTGATGCCTGGGTCCCACTCCAGGGAACTGTTACTTGTTGGTCTGGGTGGGCCTTGTAATGGAGATTCTGGAAAGCTCCCTGTGGTTCTAATGTGCACCTGTGGTAGATTCTTACAATAGTGGTCCCTGGTCCACCATGCCCACCTGTACCCACACCTTTGTGCCCTGGTAGAATGACTTTGGGTGTTGCCATGTGACTGGCTCTGGCCAGTGAAACATTAGCAAATATGACAAAAGCAGCAACTAGAAAACATTTGTGCTCTGGGGCTTGCCCTTTCTCTTACTGCTCTTGGAACTGGCACAATGTGAAAAAACTCATGCTAGCCTGCTAGAGACACAAGGTTAGCCAACAGCCACCAGAAATGCAACTCCCCAGCTCAAGGTGAGCCAAGGAGGAAGGGCAGCCATGTCAATGACCTCAGGTGAGACCAGCAGAACTACTCTGCTGAATGCACACTACAACACTGACCCACAGAATAATGAACAAATAAAATCACTGTTCTTTGGACGTTTAACTTTTCACTTTCAGAGTGGTTGTTATGCAGCAGTAGCTAACTGATTAAGCTGCCAAGGTTGAGAAGCATGGTTACATGATAATTTTGGAGATCCCTTATTTAATATTTATATTTATTTTTTGCAAAAGGAATGCCCATCGTTAAATTTTGCAGGCTACAAAAATTATAAAGAAAAAAAATGATTTTATCGCTAGAGGCAATGACTGCTAAAGTTTGGCATTTTTTGTTTGTTTTGCTTCCAAATGATTTAGACTTAATCAGAACTAAACTAACTGAAAAGCTAACAATAGAGAAAGATTACAAATAAGTGCCTTTTGCAAACTGAGCAGGGGCAGAAAGGGACTGAGGCTGCACCTCAACCTGATCCCTTGTGAACACAGACATCCACAGTGTCCCTGGCAGTCTGGCACAGGAAGGGGGAGACCAGTGGCTGCATTGAGGTCCACTTGCCCCCTACCACTCTCCTAGCCAGCAGCAGGAGCCCCACCTTGCCTGCTCTGGTCTTCACCCTACTCTAGCTTTCTCTCTGCATTTTTAACCAGTGTCAAAATAACTGGTTAATGACCTTTGTTAACAGTCTCATTTAAAACCCTTTTGCTCCTTGTTAAGAAACTAATTAGATTAAGTATCTAGAAACAGACTTGAATGAAGCAGTATAATTTCCATAAAGAACTACTATGTATAAAAGCACCAATTTTTCTGTCTTGAAAACTCCAAAAAAGTTTTCTGTAAATACTGTCCCTGAGCTCAGCACACCTGAAATATCACAGTGCTTTCAGAACAGACACTAACTGTGCACAAAGCAAGACGGTGAGAGACATAAAGAATTACCTTATTTTTTAAACTCTTTCGGAAGCTTTAATAAGTCCTCTGAACTACATACTTAGTCATTAATTGCTACTTCATTTTACTACCTACAGCTTGTAAAGAGCCTTAGGCACCAGAGAATTTTGCTTGTTAATTCTTAATAGTAATTGGTAATGACTTGTTTTGACAGAAGTGGTTTCACACATGGGAAAAAGCCACAAATTCCACTCTTTAACAAAGAATAATAATGTGTATTTGGGGGTTGTTTTGTTTTATTTTTATTCTTTCTTTTTTTTTAAATTTCAAATGCCAAAACAATCATCTTTGATGTAGAACTTCTGGGTCTCCTCAAAAAGTCTTGGGTAGTTCAGCTGCAGGGAGAGCCTGGAGAGTCTTTTTTAAAGTACCTGGGCTGGCCAGGTGTTGGTTTGGGGCCAAACCTGTCTTGCTGTGCAAAATAACTCCTCTATCACAGAAACACAAACTTGCAATCGAAACAAAAAGATTAGAATTTTTTTCTCTGCAACATACGGTTTCCAAATTAAGCAGTGTTTCTGCTTTTAAAAATTAGAAAAAGTCATTGAGAAGGAAAGAAAGGGCAAAGAAAAGAATAAAGTAGCTAATGTCAAACAAATTGAAATGACAGTAGCCGTGAAGGCCAATCAAGTCAATACAAAATAAAATAGAGAATGATGGTGGTAGTTGTAGGCCATGTCCCAGGGGAAAAAAAATCCACTGAAAACAGTATACTCCTCAGAGCCAGATGAATCTCTTCAGAGGTCCCAACCCCTGAAAAGGCTCTTCCGCCCCTAAGTCCCAATACGGAATTCAAAATAAAAACAGTATTAATATATATAACACCCCACTGAGCTGTACTCTCTTACATGTGCCCTTTACAGTAGACCTCAATAGAAGACAAATAAAACACAAAAGTTAAAGATATATGCTGGAATTAGAATAACTTTCTTTAGTGCCCTTCCAATCCAGCACTGATTCTCAGAGGAAGAAATAATTAAAATTAAAACATAATGTCATTATATTATAAATTATTTTAGTCACTATGCACTTAACTTACTTAGAGACAGCAACAGCTTTAACTTGTATTTTTCCATCAGGTAGAGTGATGGGTTTTGTATATTTAAATGTAGTATTTTCACCATAACCAACTCTCTTTAGGAATTCAGGTTTGCTGCCATCCAGGGTATAATAAATGTTGACATCTAGGGTGTCTGAAAAACCAAAACAGGATAGATGTAATTAACACTGAAGTAACAAGTCCCTGAACAATGCTAAATTTCTTTTATATGGTAAAAGTGAATAATAATAACTAACACTAACAATAACTTACATATTCTTATGTATTATAGAAATGAATAACAATAAATAAGAAAGTTGAGTTCTTTCTCTGTACCAGGCACTGTCTTTACATGAATTACATCATTTCACTTACACAACCATATCCAACACGTCCTATTTTATACCTACTTAATAAATGAGGAAACATAGTCCCAGAGAGGGTAAGAAACTTGTTGAAGTACAGCAGAATTGTGTTGGACTTTGGCTAGGTTGAGTCCACAGCCCATACTCCTGAGTCACTATGCTATCTTGCCTCTCCAGTAGGGCCCTGATACAAATGGAGTAGGTGTCAGCTTGGGAAAATACCCATTTAGAAAGCAGAAGCTAATTTTTCATTTTTTGAGCATTGCTTCAGAAATGCCTTTATCATATTTTATTTAGACTTGGTAATTCCTACACTTTTTGGAAAAATCTTGAAGGTAATAAGTTCATATGATTCAAGGTTCAAAAGTTCAAAAAAGATTGCTAAGAGAGTAGATCTTAAAAGTTCTCATCACAAGAAAAATAAATTATAATTATGTGGTGATGGATGTTACAAAATGTACATATGTCATTGTTACACACTTGAAACTATACAATGTTATATGTCAATTTTTTTTTCTTAAAAAAGCTCAAAAAAAGAAGATACAATTAAGTCTCCCTCACATCACTGACATTAGCTGGCCAAAGGCAATCAATGGTATTTTGAATATCCTTCCAAAAATATTTTATATCTGTACAAACCTATATGTACATATTCTTATTTCCGCCTCTCTTTCAACACAAATAGTGGCATACCAAACCCTGATCCACACTTTTTTTTTCATTGAACAATAATACCCTGGACAGTGTTCTACACTGGTATGTAGAGTAACCCTATTCTTTGTTATGGTTGCATCACATTCTCTCCCTATATAGATGAACAATAATTTAACTAGTCCCCTATAGATGGATATTTAGTCTGTCTTTATTTTTCTTTCTCCTTTTCTTTTGCCTTTATAAGCAGTGTAATAACTTCAGAGAAAGTTCTTTTTATATCTGTATGATATGTAGAACAAGTACTATTGAGTCAAAAACATACATGCACTTGTTATTTTGATTAATATTGCCAAACATCCCATCGTGGATGTTGAAACAATTTACACTGTGACCAGCAATGCATGAAAGTGCCCATTTACTTGTAACCTCACCCATACAGTGTGTTATCAATTTTTCTTTTTCTTTTTTTTGTCAATCTCTTAGGTTAAAAAAACACTATCTTGTAGTTTTAACTTAAATTTCTTACATTTTTAGTAAGAATCATTCATTCATTACATATTTACTAGGTACTTATCATGTGCCAGACACTGATCTAGACACTGGGGATACACCAGTCACCAAAGTCCCTGTTCTCATAGAGCATTCATTCTAGAAAGGATACACAAACAAACAAGCATATACATTCTGTTGAGTGGTGATTAAGTGCAATGCAGTAAATGAAGTCACGGATAAGGTGTGGGGAGAAAAGGGTAGGTAGAAGCATATCCTCATATGTCTGAAAGCCATGTATATTTCCTTTGTTATAAAATGTCCTTTCACATCCTATGCCCATTTTTCTATTGGGTTATTATTCTTTTTGTTACTGAACTGTAGAAACTATTAAACATTTTAAATATGAGAAAATTTGGATACCGTATCATTCATAAAATCATTTTTCAATAATCATCCAACTCTTCCTAAGAGTTATGGGCACATTTATTAGAATTTGTATTTTGGTTTGAGAATTTTAAAAAAATATTAGCTTTTAAGATGAAGGGAGATGAGGTATAATTGAGCATATTCTTAGCTGAAACTCTCCGTTTAGGAAGCCCAGGGGTTACCATGCATATAGGTAAGTAGTTTTTACACAGTTATTGAAATACATAATCAGAATCTCAGCATCTTTTTAAACAAGTACTTGTTCATATGTTTTATCTATAGAACTGGCCCTTCTCCTTATATATTCCTGTCATTACTAGGAAATACAGTCACTGCTTTATGTCTGTAATAATAGTTAAGATTTATTCTGGTATTACTATGTACTATACCCCATGTACCTAACATAATATATCAACTCATTTAATCCTCACGATGGCTCTGAATGGTAGATCTTATTACCACTATCTAACAATGAGGAAACTGAGACCCCGAAAGGCTAAGTAATGTCATCAAAGGTCACTAGAAGTTGTCAAAACCAGGAATCAATCTCCAACCTGTCTGACTGGAAAGCCTGTGTTAATAGCTCAAATTTATCATCTTGGCAAAATAATGAGAATCCTGGGGAACTTAGGGAAACACCAGTACATCTTATATTGGCTAATGTGAGGCACAGCACTGCTACACCTATATACCTATACAAATACAAGGTTGGTCAAAGCACACCATGTTAATCTAATATAAGCCATTTTATAAACCACCAAGTACAACAGTTTCAAATTTTTAAAGTTTTACAAACTTCCCAAGATCTTGACGATAGAAAGCATGCAGAGTTAAATTAACAATCAGATAAACATAATGAGTATGGCAATGTTATTTTAAGCAATTTCAAGTAATCTGATTCTTACCGGATTTCATTTCCAAAAGGGTATTGTTATCAATTTCATGGTTGGCTTTTCCTGGCAGAGGCAGTCGCAATGGTATGATCTGAGGGACACACACTGAACCAGCAGTCATTTTCCCTCTTTACATTAAAAAAGTGGATGAGAATAATTTCAGCGGTCACCTCTTTATTTGAACACAAAGCTGAAGAAAAGCATCCCACTTAAATATAGTAAAATTAGTAAAAGCCACAAAGAATACTGCTATTATACCATCTACAAATATTATTCAATTTTTAATTGAAATAACTATTATTTCAGCTCTATTTTTGTTACTGAGGTCCCACGTAGAGTTTTGATTATTCAAAAACTTACCTCACTTCCGGAAAAAGAGCATGGGAGAATGAGATGGGGGAAATGGAATTATTTTTAATGGGCAAATGAAATGACTACTGCAATCAGAACAAAGACTATCACTAATGATCTGATGTGAGCTCCCTCTGGATTATTATTACCTTTCTCTGCCTCTTATTAGTGTGCCACTTTCTTGGCTTCAGGGCAAGTCATCACACAAGAGGAAAAGAAGTAACTCTGCATATAGAATGAAGTGTTAATTTGGAGCCAACTCCTCTGGGATAGCTACAGGTTGAAGGCCCTACAGTTGTTGCCAAGTGGTTCCTGCATTTGAAATGCTGCAAAGAAACTTTAGAAGGATGGCAGCATATCAAGCATCAACCAAAAGAAAGCTGGCACTGACAAGTGATATAAACACCTGCTCCATCTCCTGTACTTACAAATAATTTAGTATGCATATGGAAGCCTTATTGATCTTTTTTCCTGGAATGTGTCATAATTTTTAATTCATAAAGGATTCAGGGGGAGAAAAAGCAAACCTCACCTTAATACAGCAACCTTTTGCACCTCTGTATGGCCTCTTCCAATTTCAATAATTATGGCTACATAGGTTTTACTCAAATTATAATCTACATAGTCATTCAATTTTTTGTGTACTTTTTGCATCCTCACTCTATTATTCACAATTTTCCATGTGCTTATGTAATCTTATTTACCAATTTGTGGTTGGGCATTTGGGATATGACTAGTTTCATTCTCATTTTGGTTGTTGCAATTCTAAATAATGCTGCTCTGAAAATCTTGTGGCTTGAATTTTGACACAGACTATGTTCCCAAAAGTGGAATAACTAAATTTAAGGAGTGACTTTAATGCCTAGTTGGGCAGTTCCAGGATGGGAGCTAAGAATTTATTTTTAATGAAGTATCGTTGATATACAATATTATATTGATTTCAATATACAACACAGTGGTTCAACAGTTATCCAAATTATTAAATCCTCACCCCTATTAGTGCAGTTATTATCTATCAACATAGGAAAACATTACAGAATCTGTGGCTATATTTTCTAAGCTGTACTACTATCCTTCTGACCAACTATATTATGATTGAGAATTTTTGTGTCCTTTTATCCCCCTCACCTTCTCCTCTAGCCCCAACCCCTCCTGTATGGTAACCACCAGTCACTTTTCAGTGTCTATGGGTCTATTGCTATTTTGTTCGTTTTGTTTTGTTTTAATATTCCACAAATAAGTGAAATCATATGGTATTTGTCTTTGCCTGGCTTATTTCACTGAGCATAATACCCTCTAGGTCCATCCATGTTGATGCAAATGGCAGGATTTATTTTTTTATCGTGGAATAATACTCCACTGTGCATATGTACATCTTCTTTAACCATTCATCTATTGATGGACACTTCGATTGCTCCCATGGTGGCTAAGCATTTAATCTGCAGCTACTGATAGAATAATAGCCTCTACATAAGTGTGGCTGGATTAGCAGGGAGAGGGGGTCTTACTCATTTTTCCATTTAAGTGAGAGGCAATTTAAGAAGTTGAAAAATCAGTTCAAAATAAAAATTGCTGGGGAGGGAGTAATTCGTGCAGCAAGTAAGGGCTGCCCGTGACAGTCGGGCAGCCAGTGTACCCCAAAGGAAGGGAATCAGAAGTAGACTGATGTGCTAGGCCCAGAGGACAGTGTGGTTCAAAGCACCTCTCACCCACCAAATCCCCACATTAAGACCGCCCCTCGCTGCCCGGATCCGGAACCCCGTCTAGTCTCCGTCCTCACCTATTAGGCCAAACAGGGACGCCCGCTTCCTTTCGGCTGGAGTTGGGGAGAAGGGCCCCCACTCCTCCTCCAGTCACCAGGACCGGAATTGGGACCCTCACGGAACCTCGGCCTAGGGACCCTTGCCAGGGAGCCCACCTCTCCGGCTTAGGCCCTCTCCTCTCCAGCCTCCAGGTTACCACAGACGCTGCGAGTCGCGTCCCGCCCACTGAGAACTGGGCAGGTGATTGGTGGAAACCTGGCTTCCTAGCAACCAGCTCCGCCCCGGCCGCCTGGACTGGAGACTGGTACCTGCTTCCCCCTCGGCTAGAGCTTCGCCGTAGGCGTCGGAGGATATGCCTTCACAGAAGTTGCCAAGCGCTGAAAGGCGGTGTCCCAACTCTGAATGAAGGAGCCTGGGTCTGACATTCTGGAAAATAAGAATAACACGTAGCGGCGCGGGCGAGTGAGGCGGAGCAGGCGCGGCTTGGCCACCTCCAACGACAGACAAGGAAGGACCGGCTGCGACACGGAGAAGAAGGTCCTTCGCCCTAATCAGGCGCTCTCCTCAGGGGTTCTCTGTTCCCAGGCTGGCTATCTGAGCGCCTCTTCCCTCAAAGCCCAGGAACTGCGCCCTAATGGCTGAGGTGAAGGTGAAGGTGCAGCCGCCCGACGCAGATCCGGTCGAAATAGAGAACAGGTAAACCAGTGAGTGAGGCTTGCTTCCCAGCTCCTGGGCCCCCGTAGGCGGCCGGTCGTTTGGCAGCCGGAGCCAGTCTCCGGGGACTCGGTAGTGACTGGAGTAAGTTCATTAAGAGCGCAGGAAAGGAACTGACTGCCCATGGGGTTCGGAACCCTCCTCCATCCCTGGAACGCAGAACTCTAAGTTCAAAACAAGTTTGACAGTTTACAACTTGATGTAGCTAACTTGCCCCCGAGTTGTTCGGAAGGTTGTGATGATGCTCTTCCTGCATTAAGGGGATCGACGCTCAGAGAAGTCTCGGCGTTTTTCCCATAGTACTGTTGATACATATTCTGCCCCAGGATCGCTCTTAGTACTAAGCGAACTCCCAAGGTAGAGTGTTTGGACAAAGTTAGGGTGCGGTTTGTGATTTCAAAGCATCATTAGGCCAAATGGTTTTGGTGCAGTACTTAAGTTTTAGGGCACCTAAAACCCCTCCCAATTTTATATTCACTATCAGTTATCACTTAGTTTTAAAAGACCCCAACTTTCTCAAACTATTATGAATAACACATATGATGGTCCTATGACAAGGTGAAGATTTGAACTTATTTTTGTTTGGTAGGGATAATTAACAAAAGCAGGCTCCAGTTGTGATGAAATGTCATAACAAATTTTGGCTTCCTAGCAGAAATGTCTGATTTGCCTGCTGCTTACAGATTTGTGGCTGCCCACGCACTGTATCTTAACTTTGTCATACTTGTTTCATCTGAGAAAATTGACGCCTCAGCTTTAATTTTTTTTGTTTTCATTTCACTTTTGTTCTTAAGTTCTTATTAGTGAGGTAAACAAATATTTTCCTTAAAAACACTAATAATGCAAATGTGTATTTGAAAGTATCTTCCTCAATTTCTAATATATTTTGATTCAGAACCATTTAGAAACCCAGACTATCTGGCAAATGTGAAAATAGGTATACCGTTTTCAAACTGTTCTGCTTGTATTTTTTCCTCCACTGCCTCTTGAAATAGGTGAAAACATGAATAATGCCATTAATGACTTTGTTCCTAGGATTATAGAATTATGTCATCAGTTTCCTCATGGAATCACAGACCAAGTAATTCAAAATGAAATGCCTCATATAGAAGCCCAGCAGCGGGCAGTGGCCATCAATAGACTGTTGTCCATGGTAAGATGAATCCAACTAGTTCACCAAATTATATGTTATGATTGTCGTTACTTTCTGTTACATAGTCATGAAGCTATTTGAGAGTATATTAGGTTGTGACTATAAGACTCCAAATCAGGAAACAGCTCAGACTGCCCCAAGTGGGGAAATAAATAATGGCACATCATTTTACAAGATGAATGGAATAAATGTGTTTTATCTGTTGTATTTATTAACCTAATTGTCATTGTGATACAGAGGGCACATAGACATAGTCTGTTCTTACCTTCTGTTTGCTTCCTACCACTGGTATTGGATTATTCCCTATGAAATATCCCACCTTTGATATTCCTGCACGTCATCATGGAGCCAGTTCATTAGGATACCACTCTCCACAGTCTCACTCGGAGCATTTCAGAAGATAGCAATGAGTCTAGTTGAATGTCAGGAGTGCTGTGCTTCTGGGAGGAAGTACAGGCTCAGCCCACAGTAACTCTGCCATTGGGTGTTTCAGTGAAGCTCTCCTACCTGATCTTATCTCTTCTCTTGGGGCCCTAATGTCACTCTCCTTCACTGGCCAAACCACCTCACCTTGTGGCACCCCATGCTCTAACTCTACCCAATTTCTCCTTTCTTTCCCCCACCATCAAAAACTCCCATGTCCTGAGAGCATCTCAGTTTTGCCTTAGTAGCAACTGGATAAAAGATTTCTACACTAAGGACTCCTCTGAAGACTGGTTTGCTTTTGAAATCTACCAGCTTTGTTGGATTTCTAAGGGCTCTAGATAATGAAATTTGAGGACAGGTGAACTATTAACCACTCCCTAAAACCTTTTAGCCCCAGGTTTGGCAAATTTTTTTATAAAGTGCTGGATAGTATATGTTTTAGTCTTTGCAAGCCATGTAGTTTCTGTCACAACTACTCTGCAGGAAAGTAGTCATGGACCATACCTCAGCTAATGGCATGGCTATGCTCACAATAAAACTTATATCTATTTTTTTTAAAAAGCAGTGGACCAGATTGCTAACCCAGGCTTTAATCCAAGGAATAAAAGAAGTGTTGATGATTTCTAGTCAGTTCACCACGGTGAAGGATCAGCTCTAGGAGGGATAGTGGAAAGGCTACTGGGAGATGGTGGCAGTGGGACATGATTTGTTCCACCAGCTTTTCAGCCCTTTCCTTTCTGTCTGAAAATCATCCTCAGTACCTCCCTCTATCTTACCACTTCTGCAACCCCACCTGCTACCAGTCCTATTATCTATAGGTTGTAGGCAGTGATGAAGCTATTGAATAATTTAAAGCAAGGGAGTAGTTATTAATAAATCACAAGTGTTGCTGATGTTAGCTCTTAAATGGTTCTCAGATTTGTCCCCGTTTCTGTTCCTACTACCCCCACGTATGTTCAGACTCTTGGCTTTTCCACCCCCACGTATGTTCAAACTCTTGGCTTTTCCATGGACTACTACAGTGCATCCTAACTAGCTTTCCTGGCTCAATTTGCCTCTGAATGACCAGCCTGGGCTGTTCTAAATTCAGATCTGACCATGTCACTTTCCAGCCAAAATCCTTCTCTCAATACTAGAGATTCAAGTTCAAACTCCAGGGCTTACCATACTGAGCCTCTTCCTTCCTCACCTGCCTCATCTCCCTTTAGTACTCTGCCTCAGAAGTTCTGTTTCAGAGGGAATCAATTGTTTGGGGTTCCCTGTCACAGCATGTTGTTTCATGTCTCAGGGCCTTTGCTCATGCTTCCCTGCTTACAAGGCCCTTCTTCCCTTTCCTGATAAAGTGACAAACTCATTATCTTCAAAGACTCAGCACTGCTATCATCTCTCTGAAAGCCTCCCCAAGTTGGGCCAAAGCTGCTTCTCTGAGCAACCATTCCAACCTTTACATACCTCTATGTTAATGCCAACCAGATGGTTTTGAAGTTGGCTGTGTGGTACTTTTTTAGAATTCATGTTTGTCCCCCCAAACACCTACCACAGTACAGTGTTCGGTAAATGTTCATAGGCTAAATTAAACTCCAAATTGAGCTTTGTGGTTTGATTTTGCCAGTTAGTGGGGTCTGGGGAGGGAAGGGGAGGGTATTGCTGTTAATCCATATGTAAACCTATTTCCAAGTCTTGAGTCTGGCCCAGTCTAAACTCATGGGAATGAGGCCTCTCTCAATCATGACTTCCCCAAACTTCAGAAGCCCAGTGGTACAGCCATCTGGGTGCTCCTGAGTTCAGACCCAAGAAAATTCAGAAACATATCAGACATGCTTTATTTTACTTTTTATTTGTTATATATAAAAAAGACACTGCAGGTGTTCTGTCCATTGTTTGGCCTTTCTACCTAATTTTCATGTAACAAAAGAAATCATGCTTATCAGTAAATCTCACTATTTGCTTTCTAAATGTTATTTAATCATTATATTTATCGAATATTTAGCCTTCACTTGAACTTTTTATTTATAATTTTTATTTTTATTACATTTATTTTTATATATGCTGATTTGAATTTGAATGTGAATTTTTACTTATTCCAAAGCTGCTTGTCTAAAATTCTTAATGCATTGATTATATATATAATCAAGCCATGATCTAGCTTACAGGAAATCATTAGGTATTAATATTTTGGAAAATGATGAGATCAAGAGCTAAGTTTTCAAAAATACATTACATGTGATATGTAGGCAAAAATTTGAGTCTCAAGTGAGGCACTGACAAATAACTATGAGAGGTATGATATTTTAGTCTGTGCACATATTAAGGAGTACATTAATATTTATGATTGATAGGGTATCCAAAATAATTCACTGCTATTTTCTATAAAAAAATACCTTTAGGGTCAGTTGGATCTCTTAAGGAGCAATACAGGCCTTCTGTATAGAATAAAGGATTCTCAGAATGCTGGGTAAGCACCCAATTTTTTTTTTCAAGAAAATTGTAATTATTACAAAAGTAATACATGTTGGGAAAAAGCTAGTACAGACCTGCATAATGTAAACCTATCCTGCATACATTCCCACCTCCCATCATGAGCTCCATTTCCCAGAGATAACTGCTTTTAATAATTTGGTCTATATTCTTTCTTATAGGTTTTTATAAATACATATAGATGATTATATATTCATATACTATATATTTATATATAATCTCTTTTATTTATTGATTTTTAAAACAAAAATTGGATCATGCTATCCATACTTTTTTGCAACTTGTTTTTTTCACTTACTGTATCTTGGACATCTTTTCATCTTGGTACATATAGCCCTGTCCTATTCTTATTTACCTTCTTTGGTAAATAAGTCAATATGATGATCTTGTTTGCTAATTCATTTATGTAGCCATGTAGATTATTAGATTATCCTATACCTTTTGGCTTTCTAATTCTACCTTATTCCCCTGCAGTAAAATGAAAGGATCAGATAACCAAGAAAAACTAGTATATCAAATCATAGAGGATGCAGGAAACAAAGGTAAGTATATGAAGAAAGAAGCAGAAAAAACATGTCTTTTAAGCTCAGATATAGGGACTGAGATCCTGGCTTTCCAGGGTGTAGAGAAGTTTGTAGAATATACTGCCATTTGTGTTAAAAGGAGAGGGAAATGTAACACACATATATAATATACATAAGCTTTATGACACCCAGGAGTAATGCCATTTTTGCCTCAAGAGAGGCAGGAACCAGGTGGCTGTGGGGAGGGATCGAAAGAAACTTCTGAATTCTGAACCACATGAAAAGTATTATCTATTCAAAATAAATAAAACTCAAGGGGTTTTTTTTAGGTCCTTAATTTCTAAACTTTGGAAACCTTAGTTTCTTCACCTTATCTGAAAATTGTAGGTAATAACATATCTCTGGTTTTTGCAAAAAGTAGAGGGATGTCTCATGTGGTATGGCATGTCTGACATAGGTCCTGCAACAGCTATTCAGTTCCTCTCCATCCCCCTTAAAGAATTATGTCCATATCGTTATTACTGCAATTCAGGATTTATTTGAGTCATTGATAATGGCTTCGGCAATTATGATGTAATCTGAAATCATATCATTCTTAAAACTTGGTAGTTAGGAGGTTAAATTAACATTTTTAAAAACAGGTTTGAAAAAGTCATTCTACTTAAAAAAATTCTTCCTCTCATTATGCCTTTACACTGGGAAGAAAAGAGCAAATATTTTATGTAAAATTCCTTTTCCATATATAGTACTTATTTCCTTCTTTGAAAGAGAAGTCATAGCTTTCTATGCAGGCATTTAGGAGCTATAAAAAGCACAATCTTCCATTTTCCACTTTCTAAATATAGCATTGTAGAAATAATGGATATATATGCATATACATGCTCACATAAAGAGTTTTTTGGCTTTCCATTGACAGTGGCACTTGCTCTTGGCCCAAACTTAAGTTTGTTTGTTTTTTTTTACATACACAATCTAAAGTGAAAATAACAGGAAACAGGTTGTTACAGAGGGGTTGGAAGAAACAATATATATTAATTCAATAACATTAAAGATTTTTCTTCCACTACACAAATGTCCTTTTCATGTTTTTTAAAAAGTGTCACACTAGGACTCCAAGAAACTTCTGGTTAGAAAATCAAGCACATACTTATTTATTGTATTGCATATTTTTGTTATGTTATCTGAAATACCTCTAAGTCACTTAATTTTTCCTATAGCTATGCTTTAGGAATATATACATAAGTACATGTTTTGTTAGTTTTAGAGTGAGATACAAGCAATGGGAATATAAACACAAATACTGTGGTCAACTTATTTCACTTTACTTTCTGATAGGAATATGGAGCAGAGATATCCGATACAAAAGTAACTTGCCATTAACAGAAATTAACAAAATTCTAAAGAACTTGGAAAGTAAAAAGCTTATCAAAGCTGTTAAGTCTGTGGCAGTGAGTACTTTTCTCTTTTCTTCCCCAAATGTTCACTGTACATGTAATGTTCCAGGTATATTTCAAGTTTTTATCGTTCTTTAATGTTTTAAATCTTTATGTTCTTTAATGTTTAAATCATGATTTAAAACAACTGGTCAAAAAAATTTTTTTTTAATTTAGCTGATATTGGACTGTTTTGAAGATGCTGCTTAAATGTCACTGCCAGTTACCTCTTAGCTATGTCAGCCCATAATCTAAAACCACTTTTACTCTCTTCAGTAAGAATTTTTGGAATCATGAACATTTTTCCCAGATTTTGTGGTGTGTAAAACAATTCACTTGATTGTGGCATATCATATTACTCATCCAGCAAACATTTGTGTGTTTGCCATGTGCCAGGCACCAATCTGGGTGCTTGAGATACATAGTGAACAAGTCAGAGAAAGATGGAGCATCTCTTCCAGCACATGGTGTTTGTCCTCCTCCTCCACCCCAGCCTGTCACTTCCTGAAGGTGCTCCTCCAAAGGTGGCTGCATCAGGGATGCCTAAAGCTGACCTCACTGAGTTACGTGTCAGAAGAGCCAAGGTTTCTAAACTTAAGTTTACTTGAACACAAATTTCAGCTTATAAGAATTTGGTGTTCATCCGTGATTTTATTTATCAAATGATATTATGTCTCAACATCCCCTAATTTAGAATATTATTTCTCTTCTACATTTTTAATGAATAATTTCAGATATGTAAAAGTAGAGAAAATAGTATAACCAATCCTCACATAACTGCTAGCTTCATCTGGCCTTTCTTCTACATCTTTATTTTTAACAACTTTATTGAGATACAATTCACATACCATAAAATTCATCCATTTAAAATGTGAAATTCAGAGATTTAGTATATACATAGAGTTGTGCAACTATCACAGTCCTAATCTTAGGGAATTATCATGTGTGAAATGTTCAAAATGTGACCCTACTGCTAGCAGTCACTCCCCAGCCTCCCTGGACTGCTTCTAGGCCCTGACAACCATTGATGTTCTTTCAGTCTCTATAGATTTACCTTTTCTGGGCATTTATAAATGAAATCATATAATATGTGGTCTCTCATGTCTGGCTCCTTTCACTTAGCCTGATATTTTCAAGATTTCAAACTAAAGTAGTATTAATTATAACCCAAAGTATAAAATAAATGAGTCCATACTGATACAAATGTTTGAATAAATAAATACAAAAATGGGGTGAATAGACAAACCTCCTATGAAGAATTGCAAACAATTTATGTAGACACTCAACCCCCAGGGAAGTGGAGTGGAACTCGCCCCCTTAAGTGTGGGCAGTGCAGTGATGTCCTTCATATATGGGAAGGAAGGGAAAACAGACACTGCCTCAAGCCAATTGATCGAGGTTAACATCCACACTGGTAACCCCTGTTGATGATCAGGTATCCTTCTGTGATGTGATGAGAAGTGTACTTTACCTCAGTGGTCTTCCCAGTCTAATCATGAGAAAAACATCAGATAAGTCCAAGTGAAGGGACATCTTACAGAATCCTAACTAGTAAATCTCTAAACTGGCAAGTTCTTCAGTAACAAGGAAAAGTCTGAGAAACTCACAACCCAAATTTGCTTCAGGAGACAATGCAACTAAAGGTATTGGGCAGGATCCTGAGCCAGAAAAGGGACATGAGGGAAAAACTGAATCTGAATAAAGTATAGACTTAAGCTAATAACGTATCAATATTGATTTATTCATTGTTACAAATGTATCCTAATAATTTAAGATGTTACTAATAGGGGAAACTTTACAAGATAAATGGAATTCTGCCATCTTCATAATTCTATAAATCTAAAACTGCTCTAAAATACAAAATCTGGGTTTTTTAAAAATCTTAGTTTTAGAAGACTATTATCACATCTGTTGTTCATTTTTTCCCCTAGGCCTCAAAAAAGAAGGTGTATATGCTGTATAACCTGCAGCCAGACCGGTCTGTGACTGGTGGAGCTTGGTATAGTGACCAAGATTTTGAATCAGAATTTGTAGAGGTGCTTAACCAACAGTGTTTCAAATTCCTACAAACCAAGGTGAGGCATAATTGAGGAAATATCATTGCAAATCTTTTTTTGAAAAGTTTCTTCATAAAGAATGTTTAATCTTGTGTATCATGGGAATTAGAAATACTGAAATTGATAATTTTTACTAAACAAAATGTTGTTAATTTCATTCCATATAAGTTATATTCAGAGAACATCAGTATTGTTGCTAGATTTATGTGTCTACTTTTATAGGCAGAAGCAGCACGAGACAGCAAGCAGAATCCGATGATACAAAGAAATAGTTCCTTTGCTTCATCACATGAGGTGTGGAAGTATATCTGTGAATTGGGAATCAGTAAGGTCAGAATCAGTTTCTAAATTTCATCTTTTTAGAAAACTTATTCCAAACATATTTGACCTAGACCCTTTTTTCAGGTGATACCTGTAAACATTCTGCAGAACCCATTTTGAGAAGGTACTGTCCTAAGCCAGCTGGGCAAAGGCTTTCATTGCCCCAGGCACTGTCTGAACTGTATAGATTTGAACTTGGGATTAGAGCATCAGAGTGGAGGCCAGGCAGTGTGTTTTACTACCAAAGTTCAAGTCTGTTCTGACATGTTCTTGGACATTTCAATGTATGTGCCAGTATCAGTCACCACAATGTATTGTCCTGTTCAGAAGAAGAAGTATTACCAGCATAGTTTTCTGAAGGCCTGTACATATGGACACTGTGCTGAATGCCTTTCACAATAAGAAGAAATTGAAGTGGCTGTTTGGTCAAGTCATTTTTATTTCCTAGCCCCCATATTTCACATTTATTAAAAAAAACAGGAATTCGGACTATTTGATTTCTTAAGAACTCTCCTCAAACATTTCTCACCATCACATTCTTGCCACAGAAATGTTACTTTATGGCTTCTCTATTTTACTTAAGAGAATAGAGACATGAGAAAGTGTCAGACTCAGCATGAGATTGAACATCTGTCCCTGGTGTTTCAGTGGTTTGTGCTGACTTGTCCCATCATTCAACCTTTGTGCTTTGCCTTACTCACCAGCATGCTTCCCCATTTCACTGAGGAATTATGACCCTTGATTGTTGATAACACACTCCAGAAGGATGTCTTCTTGTCCTTTTTTTCTTTTCTAATGTATCCCTATTTTAGGTAGAGTTGTCCACAGAGGACATTGAAACCATCCTGAATACCCTTATCTATGATGGGAAAGTGGAGATGACTATCATCGCTGCAAAAGAAGGCACAGTTGGCAGCGTGGATGGACACATGAAACTGTACAGGGCAGTCAATCCAATCATCCCACCAACAGGTTTGGTCCGGGCTGCCTGTGGGCTCTGCCCGGTGAGTTAAAGTGGCTTCACTTTACCCTTGGCTGCCATCAAGTGCCAGTGCCATTTACCATCAGGCACACCCATTTCTCAAACTCTCAAGGGTTGACCAAGAGCTGCTCAAACCTTCATGTAACCTTGAGGAGCAATTTAAAACAGACTTTTAACAAGCAAATCATTGCTTTACATTCTTAGAATAACAGGTTAGGGTAATTTGTGTTTTCTGCTCCTGGTCCTGAAATGGGGAGGTTTTGTTTGTTTGTTTGTTTGTTTGTTTATTTGTTTGAAATGGACAGTTTTTGATGAGGGCTAATCATTTAGCCTGAGCAAGGAGAGAATGAGATTGAGATCCTACCATGGGCCAGGCATGTTCTTGAAGATTTGTGTTTAATCCTCTCAGGTCCTTTGGAGCAGGTGGCATTTCCCTTAAACATTCAGCAACTTAGGTTAAGGAAGACCTCAGGGTTTCAGCTTCCAAGTGACACCAGGCTGCAGACCAGAGAGAACGTTTTCCTCTGCCACATGCCCCGCCCAGCACTCCTCATTCATTCTCACATAGTTCCTGAGCCATGTGCTGTAGGCTCCGTCCCAACCCTGATGGCATCTACAGCCTTGTGCTGCTGGTCTTTTATTTCATTATATCAGCACCCTTCACCAAAAGGAAGGTAGCCAAACATGACACTTTGGCTGGTCAAATTAAGTCATATATACAAGTCTCCCTCCCCGTGTTCCTATTACCTGCTGATAGCCTTTAGTCCAGTGGCAGATGAACATGGTCATCTTAATGCTGCAGTAAAAGGTCATTAGTAACCTTATAACCACTGAGCAGGTCCTATTACAGTGTATTCTTAAATACAGTCCTGTATTTAGTATTGCTCTAAATGGCTGGGTCTGGGATATTTTGTTAACATAAATTTTAGTTGTAGTTAACATTTAAGACTTTACCTATAACAATTTTAAAACATCATTTGATTATAAACTCTTCTTTTTTAAAGGTTTTTGATGACTGCCATGAAGGTGGTGAGATTTCACCATCTAACTGTATTTACATGACAGAGTGGCTTGAATTTTAACAGTTATGAACTTTACTGACATTCTGTAAATGAAGTTACTATGGAGCAAATAATTTAATTCATGATGGAACATCAAATTCTCTTGAAAGCAAACTATACAATAATGGACAGAGGCTTGCTGCTGTGGAAAAATATATTATTATCTATGAAGACTAAATTTATATTGACAGAGTAGCCAACAGAATTTAAAGCTGGTAAGGTTAATAGTGAAATCCATTTTTCAATAAATAAAATACTTGGAGCTTCTGGAGGACCACTGTCAAGCCTTTCAAGACTTCTGAAGATTCACAGAAAGAGAAGCGAACAAATCCCTGTTTACCAAGTACAGTGTTAATGGCTGGAGTTTAACAATGCCCGTTTCAAAGTTAAGATCATCATTGGAAATGTTTTATGTCTGGTTCACTCTCACCATTTCTGTTTTCTGTTCTCAGTGGTTTTGTTGAGAAGAAATTAAGCAGAGAAGGCAGGAATACCAGGGGAATATACGCAAACTAGGAGCATGCGTTGGGGGAGAGTGGATCATCCCTTTTCCACACACTATTAATTAATCTTTATGTCAGAGATATGTTTTCAGGTGATTATGTCTCTGTACTTGCCACAAACCCAAGTGATGACTAACATCAAGGATAGGTTTTTAGCACCCAAACATTACTATTCACATACTAATAGAAATATTGTCATTGGTCCTTTTTTAAAAAAAGTCTTAAAAAGTTTCAGACCTTGTCTCAGTTGTATTATTTGCCAGAACTTTCCCATAGACTCTCACGTAACTAAAATTAAAAATAATCTGTTGCCCTCCATTTACAGTTTATTGGGCTGGGTCACCATTCTTTTCTTGTCTTATTTTAGATTGGTTTCCTTGTTCTGTTCTAAAAATCATGGTGCAATAGGGGTCCAAGCTAAGCAGAAAGCCTTTATAATTGGTCCTCAGTTCTAATAGTACTTTCAGTTCTAGTCTTTAGCCATATAGAAGCACTAAGCTATTTAATGCACTGTTGCACAGAAATTAGATGGTAGGGCCCTTCAGTATCCTAGCTGTTGTATTTGTAGCACTTAAAAGTTTCTGTGTTCAGCACGGGACCAAAGGAAAGAAATTCAAGGTCAGCCACTGCTGAGGCCTGAGTCAAACATTAGTTTGGAGCTACTCTAAGTGGACAATCATCTGAATGGTTATTTTTAGATGAATAGGATCATTAAAATAAAATTCAGCTCAGGAACCAATTAAGAACCAGATAAATTCTGTGGCCAGCTCTATGGACCTTAGCATTTGATGACACCAAGCACTCTGAAACAAAGATTTCTCAAATATTGGATATATAGTTGACTGTTGAACATCACAGATTTGAATAGCATGGGCCCACTTATACACAAATTTTTCCAATAAATATATTGAAATTTTTTTTAGAGATTTATGACTTTGAAAAAACATTTTTTCTAGCTTACTTTATTATAATAATAGAGTATATAGTATATGTAGCATATAAAGTATGTATAAATCAACTTCCTGTTATCAGTGAGATTTCCAGTCAACAATAGGCTATTAGTAGTTAAATTTTGGGGAAGTGAAAAGTTGTATGTGAATTTTCAGCTGAGCTGGGGGGTTAGTGTCCCTAACCGTCGTGTTGTTCAAGGGCCAACTGTATATAAGATATAGAAAACCCCAGGAACCTGAAACTAAACAGGGTTTCTCTTTGGCCCCCAGTGAGAGTTGGAATGGTAAGAGGAATATTATCCTTCCTGGAACCTGGCCTATCACAGAGGCTCTAGTCTTATTTAATGAGAAAACTGAACTTGGAGGAAAGTTAGACCTGGAGAGAAGGAACCAGTTTATAATGTTAAATACCAAGTTTACATTGTCTTGACAGCCAGAGATTGATTTTTTTAAAGCCTTCAATCAATGACTAAACTAAAAGTATTCTTCCCTTCACCAGAAATAGAGACCCTTAAAACTTTTTTCCCGTAGCATGTTTTTCATTCTGAATATTAACTGAAGGAGAAAAGAAACAATAATTTAAAAATACAGTACCTCTGATGTATAGTTAAATGGGTACTTACCCTACAGAAGTCAGCTTGGACCAAAACAAGTTGTAGGGATCTAGACTCATGACACCACCAAAAAAATCAGATTGTGAATAAAATCCTAATAGTTACAGATGATTTTCATTACAATAGGGTATTTTGTTCACTTGAGAGTAGATATTCCTTGGAGTCTGGCAAGGCCTCTCTACAATTAATGATCTATAGAGAATCAAACATAGAATCGTGAGAGACCATGACTTGATGGTTTAGATGAATAGTTTGTGTGGGATTCTTCCATGAAATTCCTCTGATCTTTGGTGGTGAATAAACTTTACAGAATCTTGATTTTTTTATGGTGATCGACTAGGCAAACTAGTCAAGTTCAAGTTGAGTCACTTATACTTTGAACTATTTACTCACTATTAGATGGTGGGTGAGAAGAGACTATAATATGCATGCCCTAGACCAGTGCTGTCCAGTTGAATTTTCTGTAATGATGGAAATATTCTAAATCTGTTCAATAGGGTAGCCATTAGCGACCTGTGGCTGCTGAGCCAGTGTGGATGAGATGAGAAACAGAATTTTCATTTTTTGAGCCTTCTGGGGTTCTGGCCACCATACTGGGCAGCACAACTCAGTCACGTAGGTCTAATTATTTCTATAAGAATGAAGAGTGTCCTATAGCATCTGACTACGCTGATGGACAGTAACTGTAATGTGGTATGTGGTAGGGAATTGATAATGGGGGAAATCTAGTAACCACAGTGTTGCTCATGTGATTGTATATTAATGATAAATAAATAGATGATAGATTGATAGATAGATAATAAATAAATCAAGCAAGCAAGCAAGCGAAATCTGAGGAACTCACCCCTAAGAGGAGCCTAAGGAGACATTATAACTAAATACAAATATAAATACCAGAGATACGGTATTTCAGGAAGGGGTCTGGGAACAGATATATGACATTTGGTTAAAAAACTAAGGACATTTGCATAAAGTATGGACTTCAGTTAATAAAAAAAAGTATCAAAATTATTTCTCAATTGTATATATTTGTTTTTTTCTATGGTGGAGGAGAACAAAGTATTATGAACTGTTACTTGCATAAGTTTGTAATTTTTTGAGAAAGGACTTAAGAAAACAAAGCAGAGTGTAAGAACAATTAGTAATCCCAAGTAATTCAAATAATACAGAATTAAACTTTGATTATAGGCTTGGTCAAATCAATGCTAAACTATGTTTTTTAAGAAAATTACTATTCAATTCATTTACCCAATTTGCTTTTCACTAACTTGTCAAATAAGTTGTCTTAAATCCTAATTATTGTAATTTAATAAGTAATACTTGTTCAGTATAACAACTCAAATAATCTCCAGGTATATAAAATAGGAGATGTCCACTATACTGTATCTGCCAAAATTCCCATCCCCCAAAGATAATTGCTATTAAAAGTTTATAGAGTTTTTCCTGACTTTTTTCTTTGAGCATATTTAGAAACCAAAAGACTTTTAATGATGGCTTTGAGTCCCTTTTGGGCATAAAAACTGTGGAAACTCACATTACTACAACAAACAACAGGTTCTGCAACAGCAAGTATGAATTCACTCAAAATTGTTTGAGGTAACAAAACAGCCAAAAAATATTGGGAAATGAAAAGGTCTGTTTTGAGGGAGTATGAGCAGAAGAAAAACTCATGGAATGATGCTTGAAACATATCTAAAGGACCATGGGAATTAAAAAGAACTCTACAAAACAAAATTGGAGGTAAGGAAAGATTTTTTTTAAAAACTTAAGACTTTGTAACAAAATCCAAATTGTTCTCATGATTTTACCCTTTGATATGTTCATTTCTCATAAAGGATCATTTAAAGCACCTAAGTTAATCCTTATGGCAGAAGTCACAAATGGATGGTTTGGACTTTGTGTGTCCTGAAGAGTGTATAAATTTTTATACTGTAGTTACCAACTAACATAATCCATATGGACATGAGTTAGACATAATTCATGTCCCTATGGATTGTATATAAATGCATACATGTATTTTCCCTGGATATAAAAACTATTGCATGGTTTTTTCAAAAATATCAGAAAACTGGCAATACCCTGCCACATTCCCACATGGCAGCAGTTTAGACAGGGCACGAGCTTTCCACATTGCCCTAATCTTCATAACTCTGGTCTTGCATAAATCTAGTCAGCTGTGCTTTTATATATATATATATATATGGGCTGGGCCTAAATTCCCTGCCTGATCTTTGTGGACCCTTATATATCATTCTCTTTCACATGTTCGAAGGACTGGGGCAGAGTGTCAAAGGTGAAGGCCCTAGTCTGGGATTAATGTCCTGGGCCAGCTTAGCAGATAGTACTTTGAGATCTAAGCCAACACTCTGGACCTTTAGTCGTGTCTTCTTTCCCCAATAAAACAAAAGTTTTATTTCAAAAAGGTTTAACTCCTCAAAAAAATGTAACTCCTACAACATATAGAAAACCTATTTAGTTTTGAGCTGGGCTGGGAATCAGGAAACCTGGATTCCATTTTTGTCTGACTCTCTTTGAACAGATGAGGGTGATTAAGCTGTCCTTACGTCCCTTACCAAATAGGAAAAATACTGCTTTAGTTCATTGCAGCTCACTTTGGGGAGGTGTAGATTCTGGAAAGTGGAAATGGCTCTTTGTAACTTAGGCTGAACATTGGAACTTGTGTTTGCTTTTTAGGCATTTGTGGAACTTAACTTGACCTGTTTTACATGTCCAGTAATCACCTGATAAAAGATGACTTACCTATTAACAATCTGATAATTGCTCTACCTTTATATCAGTATGCAAAATAGCAGAAATCATCCTGTCTATGCTGGTACTTTCAGCATCGACTTTACCACACTAATCAGTTCATGAAACTCCGTGTTCTGGAAATGGCCACGGTCAGTGAATCTGTACAATTTGGCATCCAACCTGTCAGCCACTTCTTGTTGTTCTTTCCAGGGAAGGAAAGGATCATCAGTGGAGCCAAACTGCACAATGTGAGGGCAGTTGGCTTTGATCTTCTCCCACTGCCAGGGGCGGCTGAAGTATCCTATGGGGAAAAATATACATGACCTATCATTGCCTATGGATAATTTCCATTCTAGCCATTCTAAAATATCTAATAAAGACCATAGCAGAGACAACAAATCAGGGCCTAAGTGTGAGTCAGAAGCCACCCTTTAGTTTTCAAATCTGTAAGGCTAATACCATACCTACTTATGAAGTATATGGCTCACATAAAACCCCACCTCTAGGGTTCAGTTCTAGACTATGGACTAGAAAAGGGTCTACCACCTCTCAAAGTGCCTAACATATCCAAATGTGGACGGTAAATATTTCTTGTATGCTATCAGATTTTTTTTTAACCTATCTAGAAGACAATACTGTTTTATAACCTGAACAAATAGCTCTGTGACTGGAGGAAGGGCTCTTTTGGGGGTTTTGCCCTCAAACTTACCACTTGCATGCTCATTTTCATCCCCCAAGTCTGATGTGTATGCAGATACTAATACAATAGCATATACTCGATGTGTTTCTGCATACCTGCAGAGAGAGAAATAATGTCAGCTAATACTGCTAAATCTGATCACCAAAACATCAATAAAACACTTAAAACTTGGTTTAGCTTACAAAAAATATGTGCTATATGCTGTAGAGATAATATGAAAAATAGTAAGGAAAATGCAGAACTACGAGCCAGTGGTTAATGAATTAACCTTGGCTACTTAATGTCATTTTTTTCAAGGCAGCCCAAACCTCTTCTGTAATCCTTTCCAAACAAGCATAAAAACTGTAATCATTCTCCTTGAAGCACGCATTAATCTACCTTAAGTATGCATCAGCATTACCCTGTTTGTTAATGTGGATTCCATGACTCAGTCCCACAGCATCTGATTCAGAGGGTTGGGATTGAGGACCACAAATCTGCATTTTAAGGTATGACACCTCCTCCAATCCAGGTGGCTAATACAAGTGATCTGCACTTGCATTAAGAAATATTTTAAGAAACTGTACAACAGCAGCAATGTACCTCTTGGCACACACTCCACACTGCACTCTATTACTCATTTGCGTCACATGAAATTTATCTCCCCTAATAAGCCATCAGTTCCTCACGGGCAGGATAAGCCTTCTGGATCTTTGTAACCCTGGTACCTTATACAGTGCCCACCAAGAAGACACTCAGCTAACGAGCTGCAGACAGTTCACTCACTCAGCAAAGACTAGGCTAAGGGAAGACCTGGAATAGCAATAGTTTGAAAAGGCCTCTTAACAGGACAGATTTCAGGGTTAATATTTTGGTCTTGGGCCTAAATGTTTTCCCCTGACCTTTTGTTTTGAAAAATTTCAAATCTACAGAAAAGTTAGAGGAACAAGTATGTAGATCATTAATTTACCTTTCACCCCAAATACTTCAGCATGTATCCCCTAAAAACAAAGCCTTTCTCTTATATAACCACAGTACCATTTTACCAAATAAATTTAACATTGATAGAGTAATATTACCTGTGTTCATTTTTCCCCAATTGTACCAAAGATGTTCTTTAAAACTGCTTTTCAATCCTAGATCTAGTCAAAGATTATGAATCACATCCGGTTTTCATGACTCTCTAGTGACTTTTAAATGCTTTATTTTAAATGACATTGACATTTTTTCAGAATGTAGGCCAGCTGTCTTGTGCATTATCACCTAAACTGAATTTGTCTGTTTCCCTACGATTAGACAGAGGATAAACACTTTTGGCATGCTGTGTCCTTCCTGCTCCATCACATCAGAGGCACACAATGCCGGTTTAACCCCATTATTGATGAAATCAGGTTTGATTACTTAAAGTAATATCCACCAGATCCCAACACTGTAAACACAATATCCCTTTTGTGATTAGTAAGTAATCTGTGGGGTGGTCCTCTGTGACTGTCAATATCTGGTTCCCCTACAATCTTAAACCAAATGGTTTTGGCATCTGTTTTTCTCCTTGCCCACTTTAACTTTGGAAGTCAATTTTCAGAAGGTTGCTGACAATCCTGAAATAAGTTTCATGGGCCTTAAAAGAAGGCACATCTTTATTAGTCAATGGGCTGAGAAAAATTCAGTTGGCCTTAAGTTACAGATTTCAACAAGAAAGCATTTTTCTTCATTTTCCAGACAACCCCTGGCACCTTATAAACACTATGACTATATGATAATTCTCTATCTCTACATTGAAAAGCATTATTCTTATACCTTCTATTGGTGAGGCTGAACAGTTATGGAATTTGGCAAAATCCTGATATGTAATTTATGTGACATTCTGAGTGACTGCATGGGACAAGAGGCTACCCAAAAATTATAATTCTTTGTTATCCAGCCTAGCAAATGTGGGAGAAACCCAACCCTGAAGGACTTATTCAGCGTGCTAAGTCCTTACTCTCAGGGAGAGATCAGGGATGTGCCCATGAAATCTAAGTGATTTGGGGGTGGGGTAATAGCCTCCACCCTCCAACATATTGAGCACCTACCATATGCTAGATACTCATCTAGGCACTAGGGTTTCAGTGTCAGAATGAACAAAATCCCACCTTCATGAAGCTTATATTCTATTGCAAGAGACACATGAGAAATAAACAGGATGTCAGATCAAAGTGCTACAGATAAGGTATAAAGGGGATAGGATGGGATGTATGAGTGGGATGAAGCTGCTGTTTCATGTGAAGTGATTAGAGAAGACTTCACTGAAAAGAGACATTCGAGCAGAGAATTAGAGGAGGAGAAAGCCACACAGGCATCTACAGACAGAGTGTCCCAAGTAGAAAAATGGCAAGTACATGCTTAAAGCAGGTGCACACCTGGCCTGTTCAAGAAACTGCAATGAGGTCTGTGAACCAGGCTGGGGGCCCTGAAGGAGAGATGGTAGAGATGACAACAGCTAGTGGGGGATGAAGGCTGAGGATTTTCTTCAGAAGGTGACAGGAAGCCACTGGGGTTTGCAGCCACTCATGTTTTAAAAGGATCACTGTGTCCCAGTAAGATCAGAAAACCCTTTAAAATGTACAAACCAAACCAGGAAGGAATAAGGACAGATTAGGTTACCACTTTTGAGGTCAGTACTGTTGCCTCTGTAGGTGAAATTTAAGATATACACTGGTATTTCCCAAGCAAGCATGTCTGGAGCCCACACCGAGGGTGACAATTCAACATGGATCACACCTCATGGCCGCAATGGCCCCGGAACTGTGACCTATGATGATGGTCTTCTCATCACAGTGCAGCTCCGTCTCCATGAAGGGCAGCCAGATGCTCTCCCGTGCTGTAACTGAGGTTCAGAGTAATGAAAGTCTGTCATTTGATAGGGACAGTTTTAGAGTACTGCTGCCCTACCCTTCAAATAGATGACTACTCAGCAGTTCACAGCTTTAAAACTGCAGGATAACAATGGGGATGGGACTGTTTTAACAGTCAAAGATGTATGTGCTGCTATTTGAAAGACTCAAATCTGTAGTTTGGGTATATATACATATATTTGCTTTTATTTTTACCATATTTGTTAAGAAAATACTCAGAAAATAATAAAACTAAAAAAAGTTGAAAGGTTTAATGTGAACTTTCAAACTTAAAAAAGAAACTCTTGACAACTTTCTTTCTTGAATTCACATTATATATTTTTTTCCAAAAAGGAAATTCCTAAAACAAGTCTTAGGCATACTCAGAACAAAAAAAATACATTTTTAAATATTAGGATCTCATAGAGGGGCTATAAAGTTTTAATCATAGCTCTGCCTCAAACACCCATAAATTCTGCCTGAAAAGTATCTGTTGACTTACATAAGGGAAATCGAATTGCTTGCAAAGTTGAAAGTTAAATTTACCAAGCCCAGATGCTTTTCTTGATCCTTCCTAGAATTTTCTATTATGTTTTTTGGTTCACACCCTCCTCCCCAAACTACTTGCTATCATGCATTCTTAAGTATATATTTGCTTAAGCTTCTCTACTATGATATTCCTGCTCTCCACTAGGAAAATGGTGAGATCAAAATCCAACAAGATGAGTCTATTTAAAAACACATTTAAAACTTACTTGGGTCAGGCATGTTCTTAGCCAAACACTGGAAACCAGGTATCTATGACATGAGAGGGGAGGGGGGGAAAGCTTATAATAAAGAGCTTAATTACAACTAATACTTTGTTAATAAGAAATTAAACACCTGGTATGATCTTTATCAATTCCATAAGTAATTTGCTTATATTACAAAATGAAGTGGCTTAAGTGCTACAGGGTTACATATGAATACACAATCTCTAATAACCTCCATCTGGCTGTCCTCTACACAGCCAGTTCTGCAGGTCAATATATAAAAGAGAACAGTATCTGCATTTGTACTGTAGGCATATGTCTATGGAGAGGGCATGAGTGAATGCATTCTAGACAAACTGACCTGGAGCCAAACAGACTATGTGCCAGGGAATGTATAAAACAGGGTGGTACAGAAACGTGGTAAGAAAGTTGGAGATCCTGTTTTCTTTAGACAGCTTCAGCCCTGACCTTTTGGTTTGTAGCTCTAGCCATGGTTTTCAGCCAAAAACTCTGGAATTTGTACTCTACAGACCTACTCTAGTGTAGAAGATGGCAACTCTGGAAGCAGTCTTATTGCCTGGTTATGGAAAAGAGTTTTTAAAAATATCCAGATGAATAGGACAACCTACAGTAGGTTACCATTTTTTAAAAACACATAAAGAAGCCAAGTTAATATGTTGTTTAAGGTGTACATACATAGGCTACAAAAGTAATTTTTAAAAGAGAAGCAAATGAAAAAAATTTCAGGATAGCAGTGAAATGGCATTGGGTACATACAGGTGGCTTCGAAGATACTGTTAATATTCTAGATTTTAGTTTGGTGATCGATTCTCAGGTATTCATTACATTATGCTGCATAATTTACATACATGTTACACGCATCCTTTCTATGTATTAAATATTACATACTGATTTTTTTTAATCGAGAAGACAGTTGTAAAATTATTTGGGGAAGTCCCAAATCTGAACCAGCAGCAAATAGAAGGAGGGGATGGAGCTCAGGCTCTGTAGTTCTGGGAGAAGGTGCCTATACTCTTTTAAGGACTAAGCCCTCAAATAAGTCTTCAGGCAATGTTACCAACCAAAATCCCGACCACTAGTTCGAGAGTTTAGACAAGGCAGCAAGGGCGAGCAATGAAAACACGGGGCATTGCTGAGAGGAAGGGAGCGAAACAGGGTCCAACTCGAGTCCTCCGTCCCCTCCAGCTCCAGGCTGACTTCCCAGCGCAGCGAGGCGTGTGTCTTACCTGATCCAGCGCCTTCCTGACCCAGCCATACCAGCCGTGGGTGGCCACATCCCCGCCGCCATTCCCGGGAACAATCACTGCCTTGCTCGGAGAGGCCATGAGCGCAGAGGGGCCGCGCCCCGGCCGCCGTCCCGCGGAGCTCGGAGCCACGGGCTACGTCAGCGGGGAGCCCGCCCTGCGGCATTCCGGGAATTGTAGTTCTGGAAGGTTCTCACTCGGGCCTTTCTTATAGCACAGGGCAGCCAAAAATAACACTTGAGAGTTTCCACTAAATATCAGGCACCTTTTAGTCGCCTCTTACTAGAGCTTTCAATTTTTCCCCATCTTATTTAGGACGGGCCATGTGACATATCCAGAGTTATTATATATTTACTAGAATTACTGATATTTTCACAGAAAGGTGGTTTTTGTTCCAAACAGGCAAAAACGATCTATTTGTTGGGGCAGCCATATTATTTTTCCTTCTGATCTAAAAACAGTTCTTAGAATAGTATCAGGCCTGGCTGTTACTGTTCATTGCTTTAAAAGGTATCCTTTTAAAAGCTATCTCCATAGATGTAGGGCACATGAGTGACAGTCAAACCAATTTAGAAGTTGGGGAAACTGAGGTACCAATGAAAGGGTTTACCTGTTATAATATGGCAAGCCTTAAGTTTTAGGAACTGGTCACATTACGGGCAGACACTAGAATAGAGTCCTCAGTCCTTGTCTTCAAGTATGAAAAGAATTTTAACACGTGACACTTAGGAGTATGCAAGCAAGCAGTGAACTTTATCAGACAACCAAGGAAACAGAAACACCTTCACAACCAAAGTGCGGTACTCAAGTAAGAGTCAGCCCTGGAATTCGAGATGGCAGCATGAGGGGCGAGACAGAGAATTCCTCCCAAAACCACATACAGTGTGAAAATTTAGTTAATAAAACTAGCCCTAAAACAGCAACAGGAATGATGGCTGCACCAGACTGCATACAGACCTCACCAACAGAGCCAACCTCACTAAACAGGGGTTGACTCAAGCCCTTCTCCCACCTCAGCTCACCAGCACGAGGAAGAGAAACAGAGCAGGGAGAGGGTGGAAGCCTATGACTGCTGAACACCCCGCCCTGGAGGTCTGCTTTGGAGCAAAAACCTACACTGTATGGTGCTCTGGAGGTTGGTGGGGTTGGGGAGCTGGGACATGCAGAGTGCATGAGAGACTGAGATTCCAGCCATTTGTGGAGGACAGGGATCCACATACGGCTGCTCTGGGACAAAGGAGAGGCAAGCGGTTTGAGAGGCTTTCTAGCAGCGAGAGGGCTGCTGAAGGGATGGGGTTTACACGGAGCTTGAGGAAGCCACTGGGGTTTGCAGCCACTCATGTTTTAAAAGGATCACTGTGTCCCAGTAAGATCAGAAAACCCTTTAAAATGTACAAACCAAACCAGGAAGGAATAAGGACAGATTAGGTTACCACTTTTGAGGTCAGTACTGTTGCCTCTGTAGGTGAAATTTAAGATATACACTGGTATTTCCCAAGCAAGCATGTCTGGAGCCCACACCGAGGGTGACAATTCAACATGGATCACACCTCATGGCCGCAATGGCCCCGGAACTGTGACCTATGATGATGGTCTTCTCATCACAGTGCAGCTCCGTCTCCATGAAGGGCAGCCAGATGCTCTCCCGTGCTGTAACTGAGGTTCAGAGTAATGAAAGTCTGTCATTTGATAGGGACAGTTTTAGAGTACTGCTGCCCTACCCTTCAAATAGATGACTACTCAGCAGTTCACAGCTTTAAAACTGCAGGATAACAATGGGGATGGGACTGTTTTAACAGTCAAAGATGTATGTGCTGCTATTTGAAAGACTCAAATCTGTAGTTTGGGTATATATACATATATTTGCTTTTATTTTTACCATATTTGTTAAGAAAATACTCAGAAAATAATAAAACTAAAAAAAGTTGAAAGGTTTAATGTGAACTTTCAAACTTAAAAAAGAAACTCTTGACAACTTTCTTTCTTGAATTCACATTATATATTTTTTTCCAAAAAGGAAATTCCTAAAACAAGTCTTAGGCATACTCAGAACAAAAAAAATACATTTTTAAATATTAGGATCTCATAGAGGGGCTATAAAGTTTTAATCATAGCTCTGCCTCAAACACCCATAAATTCTGCCTGAAAAGTATCTGTTGACTTACATAAGGGAAATCGAATTGCTTGCAAAGTTGAAAGTTAAATTTACCAAGCCCAGATGCTTTTCTTGATCCTTCCTAGAATTTTCTATTATGTTTTTTGGTTCACACCCTCCTCCCCAAACTACTTGCTATCATGCATTCTTAAGTATAGATTTGCTTAAGCTTCTCTACTATGATATTCCTGCTCTCCACTAGGAAAATGGTGAGATCAAAATCCAACAAGATGAGTCTATTTAAAAACACATTTAAAACTTACTTGGGTCAGGCATGTTCTTAGCCAAACACTGGAAACCAGGTATCTATGACATGAGAGGGGAGGGGGGGAAAGCTTATAATAAAGAGCTTAATTACAACTAATACTTTGTTAATAAGAAATTAAACACCTGGTATGATCTTTATCAATTCCATAAGTAATTTGCTTATATTACAAAATGAAGTGGCTTAAGTGCTACAGGGTTACATATGAATACACAATCTCTAATAACCTCCATCTGGCTGTCCTCTACACAGCCAGTTCTGCAGGTCAATATATAAAAGAGAACAGTATCTGCATTTGTACTGTAGGCATATGTCTATGGAGAGGGCATGAGTGAATGCATTCTAGACAAACTGACCTGGAGCCAAACAGACTATGTGCCAGGGAATGTATAAAACAGGGTGGTACAGAAACGTGGTAAGAAAGTTGGAGATCCTGTTTTCTTTAGACAGCTTCAGCCCTGACCTTTTGGTTTGTAGCTCTAGCCATGGTTTTCAGCCAAAAACTCTGGAATTTGTACTCTACAGACCTACTCTAGTGTAGAAGATGGCAACTCTGGAAGCAGTCTTATTGCCTGGTTATGGAAAAGAGTTTTTAAAAATATCCAGATGAATAGGACAACCTACAGTAGGTTACCATTTTTTAAAAACACATAAAGAAGCCAAGTTAATATGTTGTTTAAGGTGTACATACATAGGCTACAAAAGTAATTTTTAAAAGAGAAGCAAATGAAAAAAATTTCAGGATAGCAGTGAAATGGCATTGGGTACATACAGGTGGCTTCGAAGATACTGTTAATATTCTAGATTTTAGTTTGGTGATCGATTCTCAGGTATTCATTACATTATGCTGCATAATTTACATACATGTTACACGCATCCTTTCTATGTATTAAATATTACATACTGATTTTTTTTAATCGAGAAGACAGTTGTAAAATTATTTGGGGAAGTCCCAAATCTGAACCAGCAGCAAATAGAAGGAGGGGATGGAGCTCAGGCTCTGTAGTTCTGGGAGAAGGTGCCTATACTCTTTTAAGGACTAAGCCCTCAAATAAGTCTTCAGGCAATGTTACCAACCAAAATCCCGACCACTAGTTCGAGAGTTTAGACAAGGCAGCAAGGGCGAGCAATGAAAACACGGGGCATTGCTGAGAGGAAGGGAGCGAAACAGGGTCCAACTCGAGTCCTCCGTCCCCTCCAGCTCCAGGCTGACTTCCCAGCGCAGCGAGGCGTGTGTCTTACCTGATCCAGCGCCTTCCTGACCCAGCCATACCAGCCGTGGGTGGCCACATCCCCGCCGCCATTCCCGGGAACAATCACTGCCTTGCTCGGAGAGGCCATGAGCGCAGAGGGGCCGCGCCCCGGCCGCCGTCCCGCGGAGCTCGGAGCCACGGGCTACGTCAGCGGGGAGCCCGCCCTGCGGCATTCCGGGAATTGTAGTTCTGGAAGGTTCTCACTCGGGCCTTTCTTATAGCACAGGGCAGCCAAAAATAACACTTGAGAGTTTCCACTAAATATCAGGCACCTTTTAGTCGCCTCTTACTAGAGCTTTCAATTTTTCCCCATCTTATTTAGGACGGGCCATGTGACATATCCAGAGTTATTATATATTTACTAGAATTACTGATATTTTCACAGAAAGGTGGTTTTTGTTCCAAACAGGCAAAAACGATCTATTTGTTGGGGCAGCCATATTATTTTTCCTTCTGATCTAAAAACAGTTCTTAGAATAGTATCAGGCCTGGCTGTTACTGTTCATTGCTTTAAAAGGTATCCTTTTAAAAGCTATCTCCATAGATGTAGGGCACATGAGTGACAGTCAAACCAATTTAGAAGTTGGGGAAACTGAGGTACCAATGAAAGGGTTTACCTGTTATAATATGGCAGGCCTTAAGTTTTAGGAACTGGTCACATTACGGGCAGACACTAGAATAGAGTCCTCAGTCCTTGTCTTCAAGTATGAAAAGAATTTTAACACGTGACACTTAGGAGTATGCAAGCAAGCAGTGAACTTTATCAGACAACCAAGGAAACAGAAACACCTTCACAACCAAAGTGCGGTACTCAAGTAAGAGTCAGCCCTGGAATTCGAGATGGCAGCATGAGGGGCGAGACAGAGAATTCCTCCCAAAACCACATACAGTGTGAAAATTTAGTTAATAAAACTAGCCCTAAAACAGCAACAGGAATGATGGCTGCACCAGACTGCATACAGACCTCACCAACAGAGCCAACCTCACTAAACAGGGGTTGACTCAAGCCCTTCTCCCACCTCAGCTCACCAGCACGAGGAAGAGAAACAGAGCAGGGAGAGGGTGGAAGCCTATGACTGCTGAACACCCCGCCCTGGAGGTCTGCTTTGGAGCAAAAACCTACACTGTATGGTGCTCTGGAGGTTGGTGGGGTTGGGGAGCTGGGACATGCAGAGTGCATGAGAGACTGAGATTCCAGCCATTTGTGGAGGACAGGGATCCACATACGGCTGCTCTGGGACAAAGGAGAGGCAAGCGGTTTGAGAGGCTTTCTAGCAGCGAGAGGGCTGCTGAAGGGATGGGGTTTACACGGAGCTTGGTACGTGAGAGAAGGGATAGGTGGACAGGGTTGTCTGGGTGCACTCTGCCCAGCAGGTTGGGAACTTTGAGGAGCTTCATGCACTCCATTCCCTTGGCTGCCTACTCAGCTTCTAGGCCCCCCACTGTGATATGCAGCCTCCTGCACCTTCCTTCTTACCGGCTGGCACCTGCTCACAAACCAGCAGTCACTGCACTGGTGTCCGGCCAGCCATAGGGAGGCTCCGCCTACAACAGCTAGAGATGACAAGCAAAGAGGCTTACACCTGTGAACTTGGCCCACTGGCTCTGATACTAAAGACAGGCACTGCAGCCGTGAATCAGAAAATAGCTCTTTCTTATACCGAGGCACCAGTGCTGCTCCCCTATAACCCCCCAACCTCACACTAGGGAATGACCAGCTCCACAGACTAGAACTTCTGGTCACTGGAGGTCACGACATAAAATTACGAAATGACAAAGGAACCTGGTTCACACCAAATCTGACAACTCCCAGAAAAAGGGCCAAATGAAACTGAACCCACGAGTCTTCCTGAAAGACAGTTTAAAATAAAAATCATAAACATGCTCATGGAGGTACAGAAAAATCTTTAAGAACTCAGGGACGAATTTAAGACAGAGATTCAATCATTAAGGAATTCCATATCTGAAATAAAACATACAATGAAGGAATTTAAAAGCAGATTAGATGTAGTAGAACAGAAGGTAAATGGAATAGAAATTAGAGAAGAGGAATACAAAGAAGCTGAGGCACAGAGAGAAAAAAGGATCTCTAAGAATGAAAGAATATTGAGAGAACAGTGTGAACAATCCAAACAGAATAATATCCACATTATAGAGGTACCAGAAGAAGAGAGAGAAAAAGGGATAAAAGTGTTATTGAGGAAGTAATTGCTGAAAATTTCCCCAATCTGGGGAAGGAGATAGTCTCTTAGGCCATGGAGGTGCACAGAACTCCCAACACAAGGGACCCAGGAAGACAACATCAAGACATATAATAATAAAATGGCAAATATCAAAGATAAAGACAGACTTTTAAAAGCAGCTAGAGAAAGAAAAAAGATCACATACAAAGGAAAACCCATCAGGCTATCATTAGATTTCTCAACAGAAACCTTACAGGCCAGAAGGAAGGGGCATGATATATTTAATGCAATGAAGCAGAAGGGCCTTGAACCAAGAATACTCCACCCGGCTAGGTTATCATTTAAATTTGAAGGAGGGATTAAACAATTTAAAGATAAGCAAAAGATGAGAGAATTTACCTCCAACAAACCACCTCTACAGTGCAGTTTGGAGAAACTGCTGTAGATGGAAGTATTCCAAAGGCTAAATAGATGCCACCAGGGGAAATAAAACCACAGCAAAGTAGAACAATTAATTACCAAGCAGATGTAAAATCAAATCAACTACTCCCAAAGTCAATCAAGCGAGAGACAAAGAGTACAGAATATGATACCTAACATTTAAAGAATGGAGGAGGAAGAAAAAGGAGGAAAAGAAAAATGAACCTTAACTGTGTATGTAATAGCATAAGAAGTGAGTTAAATTAGACTGTTAGATAGTAAGGGAATTACCCTTGAACCTTTGGTAATCACGAACGTAAAGCCTTCAATGACAATAAGTACACACCTATCGATAATTACCCTAAATCTAAATGGTCTGAATACAACAATGAAAAGACATGGAGTCACTGAATAGATAAAAAAAAACAATGCTGTCTACAAGAGACACACTTCAAATCTAAAGACATACACAGACTGAAAGTAAAGCGATGGAAAAAGATCTTTCATGCAACCAAAAGGGAGAAATAAGTAAGAATTGCAGTACTTGTATCAGACAAATTAGACTTCAAGACAAAGAAAGTCACAAGAGACAAGGACATTACATAATGATAAAGGGCTCAGCCCAACAAGAGGATATAACTATGATAAATATCTATGCACACAACACAGGATCACCTACATATGAGAAACAAATACTAACAAAAATAAGGGAGAAATAGAATGCAATGCATTCATTGCAGAAGACTTCAACACACCACTCACTCCAAAGGACAGATCAACCAAAAGAAAATAAGTAGAGACAGAGGCACTGAACAACGTATTAGAACAGATGGACCTAACAGACATCTACAAAACAACCCATCCAAAAGCAACAAGACACACATTCTTCTCAAGTGCACATGGAACATTTTCAAGAATAGATCATATACTAGGGCACAAAAAGAGCCTCAATAAATTCAAAAGGGTTGAAATTGTACCAATCAGCTTTGAAGATAACAAGGTATGAAATTAGAAATAAATAACAAAAAAAAAAAAAGAAAAGAAAAAGCCCACAAACACAATCAAGGCTTAAAAACATGCTCCTAAATAATCAGTGGATCAATGACCAAAAAAAAAAAAAACAGATATCAAGCAATATATAGAGACAAATGACAACAATAATTCAACAACAAAAAATCTCTGGGACCCAGCAAAGGCCGTGCCAAGTGAGAAATATATTGCAATACAGGCCTACCTCAGGAAAGAAGAACAATCCCAAATGAACAGCCTAACTAGAAAAGGAAGAACAAATGAGGCCCAAAGCCAGTAGAAGGAGGGACATAATGAAGATTAAAACAGAAATGAATATAATCGAGAAGAATAAAACAATAGAAAGAATCAATGAAAGCAGGAGCTGGATCTTTGAGAAAACAAACAAAATAGATAAACCCTTAGTCACACTTATTAAGAAAAAAGTGACTCTACACACATAAACATAATCAGAAATGAAAAGGAAAAATTACTATGGAGACAACAGAAATACAAAGAATTATGGCAGAATACTATGAAAAATTATATGGTGACACACTGGATAGCCTAGAAGAAATGGACAACTTTCTAGAAAAATACAACCTTCCAAGGTTGACCCAGGAAGAAACAGAAAATCTGAGTAGACCAACTACCAGCAAGGAAATTGAATTGGTAATTTAAAAAACTACCTAAGAACAAAACTCCTGCACCAGATTGTTTCACTGCTGAATTCTATCGAACATTTAGTGAAGACCTAATACCCATCTTCCTTAAAGTTTTGCAAAAAGTAGAAGAGGAGGAAATACTCCAAGACTCATTCTATGAGGCCAGCATCACTCTAATATCAAAACCAGGCACAGGCACCACAAAAAAAGAAAATTACAGACCAATATCCCTGATGAACAGACATTAAAAAATACTCAATAAAAGAAGAGCACAGAGAATTCAAAAATGTATCAAAAAAATCATCCATCATGATCAAGTGGGATTTATCCCAGGGATGCAAGGATGGTACAACATTCAAAAATCCAACATCATCCACCACATCAACAAAAAGGACAAAAACCACATGATCATCTCTATAGATAATGAAAAAGCATTCAACAAAATTCAACATCCATTCATGATAAAAACTCTCAACAAAATGGGTATAAAGGGCAAGAACCTCAACATAATAAAGGCCATATATGACAAACCTACAGTCACCATTATACTTAACAGCAAGAAGCTGAAAGCTTTTCCTTTAAGATCAGGAACAAGACAAGGATGCCCACTCTCCCCACTTTTATTAACATAGTTCTGGAGGTCCTAGCCATGGCAATCAGAAAACACAAACAAATAAAAGGCATCCAGATTGGCAAAGAAGAAGTTAAACTGTCCCTGTTTGCAGATGACATGATATTGTATATAAAAAACCCTAAACAATCCACTCCAAAACTACTAGATCTAATATCTGAATTAGCAAAGTTGCGGGATACAAAATTAATACACAGAAATCTGTTGCATTCCTATACACTAACAATGAACTAGC